TTCTCCATTCGGTATTACGTATTCTTAAAAAATTTTAGTAGCTTAAATTTTTAAATTATAATTATGAACCATTAATGTATTAAATAGGCACTAGGCAGCAGGGACGGCGCCAAGGGGGGGAAAGGTGAGGCTCTAGCCTCCCCAGAAAACAATTCAGCCCCTTCGCAAGCCACCCTACTAAAAAATATGTACGATATAATAAAGTCATAAAACATTATTTTTAAAAGAGTTACATCAGAAAATTTATGAAATATACTTTTTAAAAATTAGTAATATTATGTAAATACTTTCGTATTTTCGAAGATATGTGTTTTAAGTTTTTGCTGTTATAAAAACCGATTTAATAATATTAATATTTTATACTCAAAAACCGAAGAATATTATTAACTTAATTTAATGTTTATTGTATAAAGGTAAAAATATTTTTAGTTTACTTATTATTTTTAATATGTTTAATTAATACACTTATATTATGTAAGAAGTTACTTAATAATTAATACAAAGAAAGGATTTCTTTAAGTATCTACATTTTAATATATATCCATCCATGAACTATTTTAATCTCCAAAATTCAACAAAAAAATACAAAGTAGATTCTTTAATACATAATATACTATGCAAATACCAATTTAAAAATGTATTGAACTAAAAACTTGAAATTTACTAATTAAATATAAGTTAGGTAATCACAAATTTTTATTCAAAAAAATATTATTCCTACTGGTATTGATGTAGTTTTATACATTTTTGTCAACTATTTTAACGTTTTAAAATTTTCAATCATTATTTAGTGTTTCATGCATAAACAGATATTGTGTAAAATATCAATATTTAGTTTATTTAATATATTTGTCACTACTAAATAAATTGAATTTAGTATAGACTATAATAATTTAATTAATGAAGTTTGAACAAATAACATCTTCAGTCTTTTTACGGTGGGTTAACCTACTAGTATTATCTAATAAGGAAAAAATCTACTACAGTTTTAATAAAATATGTTTTGAAATTTGTAAAATAAGAAAAAAAATCTTTTATTTGTTTATTATTACCTACCTTTATTGAGTACCAATCGCTGGATGAAAATAAACAAACAAAAATATCCCAAATCATTGCATTAAAAGCTGAGTAAAACAAATTCATCTGTTTATAACTAAACACAATTACTTTAATTTATATTTATGAATTGTCAGTAAAAGAAACATAATTATTCATTCACAAATGTATGTAATAAAGAAATTATCATTTTTGTACATCATTATTAATATAGTTGTTGAAAGTCTATGATCTAACATTTTCATATATAAGGTACATAAAAAAAAAAAATTATATTTTATTTAAATAACCTCAGTATTTGTTGAAAAAATCTTAGCTCATGTAAAAAAAATATTTGTTCCGCTCTGCTCCCTCTGAAAAAAATTCTAGTGCCGTGCTTGCTAGGCAGGTATATAAAATGATTTTCTTATTTAAAATTAGTTCTTATATCCATAATTATAAATAAATAAAACCTTTCTATATATCTATTAATTTTATATTCTTAATAATTCTACATATTCTTGAATTCTTCCTATTACATGTATCTAAATCGACCATAATATTAAGTAGGTAGGTATTTACATTATATATTCATTTTAATTTAATGTATATAAACATGTTTAATTGTCTATTCATAAATTAAATATTTATATTAATTTTTTAAAAACAAGATAATATTATAATTTATAGCTCAATCTATTAGTTATTACTTTTTATACATAAAAAATTATATTCAATGCATTGAAGAATCAAGATGTAGGTACTTAATATATAATATGAAATACCCGTACGATAACCTATAAAAATATGTGATTGTCAATTGTTTTGTTGACGATGAAGAACATCCTAATTTAAATGAATAAGTAATCAATTTAAATGTATTCTTAATTATAATTTTAATAAAATAATAATGTAATGTAGTCTTATAATTATTTATATTTACATACTTATATACTTATTTTATAATTTTTTTCACATATTCTGTATTTTTAATTGCATGTTTGGATAAAAACAAATACATATTATATTTGTAAATATTTTTGAATTCTTAATACATATAAATCCGCATTCTAAATAAAACAAATAATAAAAATAAAAGTTGTTGTACCAAAAATGTATATTTTTAAATTATTTTTATGCCACACTCATATTAAATAGTAAATTCAAATCAAATACATAGTATGTATCTACCTTCAATTATTAACTTTTTGAGGTTATTTTAAACACTTAGATTATTTTCTCATCTTTGATATCTAATCGATATTTTCATCGTATCTTTTTTCGGTGATTTCATGAGTATATTTTTTGGTAAATTGAATACTGCTTTAGAAAATATTTGGTTTGGTGTATTATTGCATACTTTTGATTGTTCTTTTATTTTGTAAACAATTTTTGCTGCTTTAGTTGAGGATAAATCAGATAAATGAACTTGTTTGTTTATAATTTTCGGATCATTGTACTCAAAAGTAGTAGTTAAAATAGAAGGAAATTTAAGTGAACTATAATTTTAACATTTCCATCAAATATAAAATTTACACGTCTTAAGTTTAGTATACGTGAAGTCATTTAACAGTATTTTTTTTATTATTTTTTTTAAATTTTCATGATTTTTGAAAGTTATATACTTTAGTATAATAAACTAAATAAACTTCAATATTTTCATACGTGCACACTACTAAAACTACGCATATATATTTTACTGCATAAACAACAAGTCTACGAATTATATAAATAAGATAAGCCCGATGATAATCGTAAATAAAAGTCCCAGCAGATTATATGGACTATCACTAAACAATAGTGTTAACCATAAATTTGTCAATCAAATGAAAATTATCTTACTTATTTTACTTAAATAATTTACTTTTTTTTTTTGGATACCACTTTCAGTTAATATATTATCTATATTTAGAAAATTCTTTTGGTGTAAGGATTTAAAAAAATTGAAAACCTTTAGTATATTATATCCTTGAAAATTTCGATAAATTATAATATTTATTGGTAATTTTAAAAATATTAATCATATTATAATTTAAAATTGAGGGAACGTTTTCAAAAATATATTATGTAATGTATTGTGAGTATTCAAACTTATAGCTTAAAGCGTTTACCCTTTAATATAAAATTGAATTAATAAAATTTAAATAAAATTGATTTTTTGATCATATTATACTTTATTTTATATTACTTTATTTTAACTTAACTTATCGTAGGTTTTTGAAATTTTTCTACAGATTTATCGAAAATTCTTAAAATCATTTTTTTTTAAGCACCAATGGAATTTTGAAGTACTTATTGTTCACAATTTATTTAGAGATAAAACTTAATAACTTTTCAGCGACCCTCTCAGTAATTTAAAAGCCTCGTATTTAATTTTCACTTTACACCCTATATATATAAATAATGAAATATATATATTTTTTTAAATTCTTTTAATGGGAGTGTTTTTAACTCCGTGATTCGTGTTATTTATTTTTCTATCTTTTTTTTTTTATCAAATTTATTTATTGTTTTTTAAATGAACAAATAGTGTAATTATTATACTTTAATTGAATAACATAAATTACAATTAAAAAAAGTAAGTAAGTGGATACCGCTTTGTCAAACATTAAGTGTCGAGTGAGCTAATAATATGGGGTGTTAAGTTTGAGCTTAGTGAAATAATATAATCATTGTTTACGAAAACGATTCTATGTGGAGATGGTTTGTTAGCCTCTGAGAGTAAGTTTATTTTGTGATACGTTTTATTAGTATTGTTTCATATAATATTATATATGTTTTTGGAAAATTATAGTTCAACTTTCTGTAATTTTAATAGAAAAATAAATAACTAAGTACTTTATAATTATACATAAAATGATTACAATATTCTGAGAAGTAGAGTCAGACACTGTCAACGTTTAGAATCGTTTTTTGTATACGAGAGCTTATAATTAAATTCAAATTCAATCATCCGTTTCAGTGACCTATCCAATGGAAAAATACACTCTATAATCGATAGCTATTAAACAATAGAGTGACTTCCCAAATTTTTCATTTCAAACTTGAAGATTTTTAAAATTTAGTTGCTATTCTCCCCTAATTTCGAACTAAATTGACGGCCAGTCATTATGAATTTATTTTATTAAAATTAATTTTTGTATGAGATATTTTTCAACTAAAAATAAAGTTGAATTTTTAAAGTTAATTCAAAACCAAATTGAAATATATCCATAGTATTTGTCAGAATTTAATAAACTAAGAAATTATAATTATAAATAATACCTTATTGTAATATTTATTTACTTATTTGTTTAAACGAGCCCACGAAAGAAGTGGCCATTGAGTGTATATTTTGTTTTATATTGATGTAGATACCCATAAATCTACAGAAAATAATTTTTATTTATTTCAATAAATAAATAATAGTTATATAAATGTAGCACATAAATTATTTGGCTATTATAGTGTAATATATGAGAAAATAAATAATAATATGTTATTCAATTACTATTAATTATTCTTGGAAGGTACTTATTTTTAATTTGATTAAAAAAAAATTAAATTACTTTTATTTTTTAAATCGTATAGATATGTATAAAGTAAACTTAGATATAAAAATAACTATAAAAAACTGATAAGTCACAACACACCTGCCTTCTACTGTATTTCACTTAAACTAAATATATTAAAATAATACGCCTACCTACGTTTTTAGAAATATGTATAGTTATATTATTATTACCTATCTGTAAAAAATGCAATTGATTAAATTATTTAATATACATCTAATATTAATGGTTGATTTTTTTTTTTATGATTTCGAAAAAAAACCAAATTTATATTTAACATTACCTTGGCCGATTAGTTAAGTTGAACTGAATGTGTGGATTAGGAAGCCGTCCCACGGCCAACGATCTCCAATAGGAACATTTGGCGCGGAACTCAAGGACAAAAATAAATAATATGTAGACGAGCTTGTGATAATTGTCTTCAGACGTTACTCGTACTCCAATAAGTAAACACAAGTGCTTAAACCGTATCGGTTGTGCAGTGTGATATTTTGAATTTCAAGTAAATCGTAGTTGAGTTTTTTTATTATATATTTTTTTACTCAAATTCGTTGACTTGTTATTTTTTAGTTAACCGTCTTAAACAGTTTAATTGACTCTTTGTTAAAGTTGGATGAAAACGTAAAATCACTTAATTATCGTAATATTTAAAAAATCCCAAAGTTGTTTATACTTATACAGAAAAAATGGCGTTAGATCTCCATCGAAAAAACGAGTTCAAGATATCCCGAAAATCCCAGGATGAAATTCTGAAGGAAATTATAACCGACGAATTTCCATTGAACCCATTGGAATTGGTTGGAGAAACGAGCTTTGATGATCCTATGATCTTGGAGGAAACCGACAAGCTACCGAGATCAGATGTGCAGGAGTTTTATAAAGATGCTAGTATTTTCATCACTGGCGGAACTGGATTTATGGGAAAGATGTTGATCGAAAAGCTCAGCAGGTCGTGTCCACATTATAAGCACATCTACTTGCTAATTAGAAATAAAAAAGGCAAGAATGTTAATGAACGTATCGATGCAATATTTGAAGATAGGGTAAGATCATTTTATTAATTACGTTTTAAATTTTAAGAAAAAATCTTTACTGTTTAATTAAGCATATACTAAGATTTATTTTTCATTTTTCTAAATATTCAAATATTTTAAATAAATATTTTTAATTTAATTATACTTAAAATGATTGAATAATTTAAAAATATAGACATTATAAATCTTATATTACATTTATTACAGTTAAAAATATTAATTCAAAACTGAAAACCAAAAATATATTTTATTCAATTTGTAAACATTTTAAACAAAAATAATTTATCTAAGAGTTTTATGATAAATTAATAGTTCAACTAACTTTTTAAACTTAAAAAAACGGGTTAATCATTGTTAAATGATTAACAATGGAATACTAAAACTAAACACTAAGAATCGTCAAATGCATATATGTTTATAATTGTAGCAAATGTTTTTTGAATAAATAATAATAATGTCAATGGTAATATGTTTGATGATACAATATTTATCAGTAAGAAACAATAACTTAGTTTACATAAACTAATATAGATATGTATTCTTAAGAAGAAATTATCTTATGAATGTATAATAAATATTTGAAAAGTTGCTAATGACAAAAAAACAATTAATAATCACTATGAAATTAATTTCTATTTCTATTTTATCCCATTCAAGTTGAATTAGATACTCAAATATGTTAGATTGACCTGAATAAATTTTATTTAAAATCTTTTATTCAATTAAAAGTTCATTATAAATTGATATTCAATTTTTTCACTGAATGTATGTTTAAATTTTTTAAGCATGTACATATTTTAAATTTAAGATATTGCGTTTAAATAGTACTAATTTATTTCATATAGGTACAATTAAAAAAAAAAAAAATCATACTATTTAAGACATTTAGGTATTTATTATATTAACGAAATTTTTTAAGGTAAATAATAAAAAATAATGTTGTTTCTATCAATAAAGTAATAAGTTGGCTTTATTTTACTACTTAATTTCTTTTATACTTATTATAATAATTAAAAACTTATATAAATAAAGAAAAAATAAGTTTTATTTCAAGGTTGTAGGCTTTTTAACATCGTTATGATGTCTTTAATGGTTAGTTAAAATTATTTCAATCTGTTTTGAAAACACAAACTTTGAGTGGATTTTTGTGAAACAATTCTTGATTATACTCTATGAACAATTAAAAGTTAAAACGTTGTAATTTACTGTTTTAAAATATAAAGATATATATTATGATATTACCATACTATAATATCATTTATGGATATATAAATTTTAATAAAATACGTGACTTAAAGTAGTGAGTGCTTACAATGCATATATATTATTTTCTGAATGGGGTCACTAGTACTTCGTTATTATTCTACACACACATCGATTTCGTAGTGGTTTGCATGCTTACATTTATTTTTTTCATATAGAAAATACAAATAAATAATAAATAATTCATTGAATGACCTTTATTGTTTCATTAATATATTATTATATTAAATATTATAAAATATATTATTGCACTTTAATGATTCCAAGAAGTGTCGTCACATTATGTTACATAAAGAATAACACTTAACAATGTTAAGTGTATTGGTAAAATATTGCAATTTATCTAATTAATAGGTATGCAATTGAACATTGTTAATATTTATATTTTTATGTGGAAACTAATTTTATAAATAAAATTAATCTATGAAATTATTTTAAATCATATTTGTGTTGATATTTTAGTTGTTTAAGAGATTGAAGCACGAGAGGCCGAAGTTCTATCATAAGATATCTGCAATCGCTGGTGACGTGTCCTTGCCAGGATTAGGTATATCTTCCAGTGACAGAAAAAAATTGGCAGAAAATGTGAATATTGTATTCCATGCAGCGGCTACAATTAGGTTTGATGAACATATACGCACCGCAATCAACATCAATGTCCTTGGAACAAGGGAAATTATAAGCCTAGCTAAAGAAATGACTAACCTTAAGGTAACAACTGCTTACCTAACAGTTGATTATAATTAAAAACGTATTAGACGATTATTTATACGCTCAAAGGGGTCAATATCATTAAAATACAATGGTATTATTAGTATAAGTAAGGTAATGCTAGAAGAAAAAATAAAGCAAAAAAATATTCTACAATGATGCAGTTGTTATAATATTCACATTATACATGTTGTTGAAACATGATTACTTATAGCTATATAAAACGATTTTGGGTAATGATAAATTGGGTCCATGATTATTATTTTTTAACTACCATTTATTACCTTATTTAATGTATTTTTCTAATGTTAATATTTTGGATGTTTATTAAATTTAAATTTATAACATGCAATTTGACTTCATAAATATTAAATAGCGGCAAATCGCACATTGATCAAATGATTGTAATTAGCGATAATAAATAACAATGAATAAATAAATTGTTTAAAACAATTTAGCTCATAAAAAATTATTAGTAAAAATGTGTTCTAAATTATCCGTCAGAATTCTATAATTAATCATTTAAAAAAAAATGCTAGTGATGGTAGGAGGTTGAATATATGAAATACCTTTGTTCGGAGAGGAGTAGGATTAAGACATAATACCTATTATAGTTATGATTTATTTCAAACCTTCAAGATACTTAACTTTGTAAACAAGTCTAATATTTAAAATACCCTCAAAACCTAGAACTAAATACTAACTATGTTCACTATTATAACGAATAAATAGTTAAGTGAAGAAAATCCGGTTTATAAATAATACAAAATTTAATATGTGTATCAGCACAATCCCGATTAAGTAGTGTAGGTACATTTGATTGTAATTAATGTGTAATGACATAAAAATAAATTTGTTAAAAATATGAGTTCCTTAGTCGACTTTAAAATCTAGTTTTTTCATATTTGCTTTGAAGGTTACGGTGTAGCACTGAAACCGAAACAAGTCGTAGTTAGCCTTTTCCTCATAGTAATTATTCTGCGTCGTAATTCGTACTGGTTTTAGTTCCTGCTTCATAAATTTTTTAAAATTATATTTTATTTAAACTAGCTACTGAATCTAGTTATTGGATAACGACATGTTTTATACTACGTACTTATTTTGAAAAAAGTAAGTCATTACTATAACACTGATGAAAAATAAATTGTATGGTTCTACGTTGTAATTTAATAAAAACAAGTTAAAAAGTGTAAATTAACATGCGTGATCACATTTTGGAATAATACATTCGAGTGTAATTTAATACAATTTATTTATTTTTTATTGTTTTGTTTAAGTACTCTATCTTTGCTTTCAAAACATTATTTTATTAGCTATTTTAATTCATTATGTATCTTTATCTTCTTAGATTCTTACTGTAGGTATTAATAAAAAAAATCATTTTGTATCGGATACTTACCACTGTTATTCTTTATATCTATTGACCAGTAAATAAATAAAGACAATTGCATAATAATATTTTAGTTATATTCAACAATAAAGTAATATTGTAATTTACCAACATATTTATTCCAATAATAATGTTTTAACCTTTAAACTATTTATTTATTTTAACATATTTACATTGAGATGCTAATTTTAATTAAAATATAAATGTTTATAGGCATGTATGTACGTATCAACTGCGTATGCTAATTGTGTGTATAGTAAAATCGAAGAAAAATTTTATGGAGCACCATATGATTACAATGGAGTGATATCATTGGTAACTTCGGCAAACGACGATAAAAAATTAGAAAACATCACACCCAGGTACGTAAATTATTATTTTTATACACATTTAGAATAATATACAATGTATTTAACAAGCATGTTTATAATTTTAGCTTAACTGCTGGTTGGCCAAACACATATACGTTTACAAAAGCTTTAGCCGAAGATTTAGCCAAACACGAGTCTATTGGACTGCCGTTTGGCATATTCAGACCATCAGTTGGTTAGTTTTGTACAATTTTTTGTTGTTGTACACATATATTTTACAATTATATATGTTAAACATAATTACTTTAATGCAGTTATTTCGACATATAATGAACCTGTTCGAGGCTGGATCGATAACGTTTATGGACCCATTGGTATGATCGTGGGAGTCGGTGCCGGAGTACTTCACACACATCACTGTGATGTCGATAAGGTCGTTGACTTAGTTCCCGTAGATTTAGTTGTTAATGCACTGATATGCTCAGCTTATAAAGTCAGCCAAAGTATAACAACAAGGTAAGTTACCAATAAATATCATATTCTGATGGATGCTTTTAAACATTTAGAACTTAGCATTGACAAACAGATATTAATATTTAAAATTTGATATTTTTTAAAGTATTTACTATTTAATTTATCATACTTGTGAAATAGAACTGAAATTGTCCACAATAAATACCTATATAAAATGTTTATCTTAATAGACAAAACAAAATTTACGTATCATTAGAATCTTTTTAGATAGAGTAAACACTTGCAATAAAATGCAATAGGTACAAATTATCGGATTTATTTGATTGAGTTTTGAGATTTTTGTTAATTTAAATTGAAGATTAAATAAATATTTATATTATTTTGTAAATTAAATACATTTATATATTAATTTTTTTTTTTCAGTGAATCAACTCCACCTATTTTTAACTATGTCAGTTCTAAGCAGAATCCAATAAACTTAGGAAAATTCTTCGAAATCATCAAAAAATACGGATTACCTAACTGGCCTACCATCAATGCAATTTGGTACTATTCGTTTATCCCCACTAATAATCCATATATATATTCCTTGTTGTTCTTATTACTCCACACAATACCCGGTTATTTTTTGGACTTTTTATGTCTAATGACTGGCAAGAAGCAAATGTAAGAATAAAACAAAATGTGTTTATTAAAAATATTCATACATTATGGATTAATGACTTACTTATCTACAGGCTTACTAACATCTATAAAAAAATGAAAAAAGCCAACACTGCATTAGTTTTCTTTGCAAATAATCAATGGGATTTCATTGACAAAAACACCAGTGCACTTTGGAATGGTATGTCAGAAGCTGATAAAAAAATATTCTTCTTCGACATAAAAGAAATGTCTTGGGATTATTATGCACGAGCTTGCGGTATTGGCTTACGTTTATACTTAGTAAAAGATGACATACATACAATAAAAAATGCAAGAACCAAGTGGGAAAAGTAAGTTGGTTCATAATAGTTTTAATAAATTATTGTGTTGGTTAAATAATAAAAAAGATATAACTATTTATAAATAATTTGATGTTAAATGTTGTATACATTTTAATTAATCAACGCGTTAATTTAAAATTAAATCAATTCATAACGTTTTTAATAAATCTAAATTTTAGTAAGTAGTTACCGCTATTACTTTTGACCAATTGGTAATTTCCGTAATCATGAAAAAATATAAATTATCTAGAATAGGTAATCATTTATTATTTATTCTTATTTTTATATTATAGTACTGTTTTTATACTAAATGGTTGATCATTAGTAAAATATTTTAATTACAAAAATATTTTTATACGGCATTAAATTTTTGTAAAATAAAAGTATTTATTAGGATTTACATAAAAAAAAATTAAAAACTTAGTACAACCTTACACACGGATTTATTGATATTATACAATGTATATGTTATTAAATACATTAAAAATAATAAATTTATACTAAAAAAATATTTATTAATTTTATTTTATAAATGATTTAATGGTTTATATTTTATTTTTAGATTACGCAAAGCTCACTTACTATTAAAAACAGTTGTGGCAATAATATTCTTACGAGTGTGCTGGTTCATCATCAACATGTGTTTTAATTAAATGTGTATTAAATCTATTTATATATTTTATATTTTTATGTTAATTTTTTTAAACTATTTATGATTTGTGATTTATTGTTACATAAATCAAACGTAAAATTAGAGGGATTAATATTGTAAATAAAAGTTTTTTTACGTTAATTTAAGTAGATGGAATGCGACTATCCAAGACTGAACAAATGATACATTAATACGTTGTATTCGTGTTAGTTAGCGTTACGTTTATTTGAAGAATAAAATTAAAATTAAAAACTTATATATTTACTTGTTTTTATTTTAGTAGTTAGTCTACAAATCCTACTTTTTTTTAAACACAAAAATATGCTGAGTATTAAAATCACGGACACTCGGTTTTCAAAAAAAAAAAAAAATAAGTTAAAAATTTGTATTATAAGATAATATTGGCTGATCTTGTATAGTGTTGCCCCCTAAAAATTAGTTATTCATGGATTTACTCGGTTATTCCATTTTAAACTCTGTTAAATATAAACTGAATACATTTTAACACAATTGTTTGGATTGTTCAGACCAAATATAGAGATTGAGTGTGTATTATTATTTATTATAGTAATTATGAATTTGAAAACAGTTATTTAATCTTAACATTCCAGAAACAATTCTGACCGAGGATCGGTTAAATGTAGTATTTATACTATAAACCTAGAATTAAAAATTTAAAAAAATGTCTAGATATAAAACAATTTTAAATATAATCTTGTATTAAATAATACGAGTACATACCTATGTAAAACGATTGCACTGAGGGAAAGTCCACGATTAACAGTTCACCTAAATATTAATTGAACGAATCTGTAAACACAACAAGCTTCTATCAAATATAATATTAACTTGAACAAAAACCAAATTGTTGGTGGATTTTAATATTTTTTTTTTACGATTTTCAAAACTTCAAAGGTGTTTTTAATATTTTTATAAACACTTTTTTTTTAGATTAGTTAGTATAGCATGTAAAATTTAAAAAAAAATATTTCAACTATAATAAATATGATAGCTGTGTACCCTACACCTATATCCTACACTGTTCACTTTTCCTAGGTATTATATAATATGTGATATTTATTCATTTTAATTTATCACTAAGTTTCATATTAAAAGGAATAATAAAACAAATAAAACAATGAAAATTGTTTTTAAGGTTATATTTTAATTGAATAAACTTAAAAAAACACCGAATGTAATATGTATACTAGTTATGACTACCAAATTTAAATTGATTTTAACAATCAATACATTTTTACTTTTTACATATAACATATAAAATTATAAATACCTGTAAAAGAGGAAAAAATGTTTCGAAGATTTATTTAAATTATGATGCGGTAAGTATATACTGATTAGAAAATGTACATAAATAATTAATCACAAAAATAAGTATATAGAAATTTGTGATAATCAACCATATGCGTTAATATTTTTAAGGAAAGCGAACGTGACTATGTTATAGAACGTGAATTAATTTATGTTTTAAACACTTCATATTCATGAATAATTTCGATGTCTCACAAATATTTTTAAGTTAAAATAAAATATTATATCAATCTATGAGTTTTAAACATAACTATTATTCCTATTCTATATTTAGCGTGAATATAATTTATGTTTAATAAAAATATTTGTAAACACTATTAAATGATTTACCATATTGTTATCTAATATTTTCATTTAACAATTTTTTTTTTTTTATCTTTTTAGGTTTATTTATTATAAATTGTAAATGCAAAATTAAATTTCTATAATACATTTTAACCAGTTAAATGTATTTAAATTGTAATTCCTTAATTATTTTTATTTTTATTATTATTATTATTTATATTAGTAAAATTGGCAAATTTTATTTTAGACTAATTTTTGAAATGTCAAAATAATAGTTTTACAATGATTTGTAAAAAAAAAAAAAAAATGAAACATTTGTTTTGGTGGCTATGTTTTGTAAACTTGTGGAGTTTGCCCGAGAACTGAGAAGGTTCATACGTAATTATCTTTTAAAGGTTTAGCAGTTTTGAAGTTTCGACGGTTAGAATACTGTTTAAAATAGTAAAAATAAACAAATCTATAAACAGTTAATAGGCAATCATTTTAAGCAATCATTATAAGATCATCTCATACATAAGAACTGCTTTAAGAACTAATAAATAACAATAAATTCCGAACTATGAAAAATTAATAAGTGATAACAGTTATTGTATAAATGGGAAACTCCTCATGAACCACAGCCACCTTATCTCACAACTAGCCTCTAGGCTCGAAGACAGTTCCTGATAATCCCATAATAAGCCTCAAACTCAACTAGTGTAGAGATCTTCTTAACTTTAAAATATACTTATATTATTCATAAATGTTTCCATAAATCATTGTAAAAGGTAACTCGACTGTGAGTCATCCTTCAAGTTATTCAAAGCCAAAAGTGTTGTATTTTTTACCACATCATATTTACTTATTATATATAGTGTACAGATTGTAAATTCTCAATAAACACAATTTAAAAAAAAAAAAAATAAATTAAAATAGTCGTAAAAAGAATTTTTTTAAAAATTTGAAATATTTTAAGAAATTCCATTTTATATTGGAATTGCCAGTAAAACATACTATCTACTTACATAGCTACGTTTTCATTTACAAAAATAAAATGAAGAGTAATCATACTCTAATAATTATTTGTGTCTAATTATTTAACGGGTATAAATTATTTTAATTTCAAAATATAAAGTTTAATAATTTTCGGATTATTTGAAACAAAATAATAAAAATGTGCGCATACCTATTACATTGTGATATTTATTATTTATCCAATATAATATCAAGATTTAAAGTATTTTCTCACAAGATATAGAATAAAAAAAACAATAGAAACTTTAATAATAGCCATTATTGTACCTTTACAATGCCTTAAAATAAACCTATATAATTACTTCGAGGTCACTTATTTTTCATAGGTGCGTATAATGACACAACTTGGAATATTTTATATTTAGAACTTAACATTTTTAATGAATGAAGATATGGATATAGTCAATCATGGTTTTATTTATAGAACACTATTTTGAATAGAAAAAATTCACAACTCAATGGATTCCATAAGTTTTAAGTAGATATAATAATATAGGTATTTATAAATTAAAGAATTTCGTAAGTTTTTACTTTATTAGGTATAGTTTTGTAGATTTTGGAGAAGAACAACGTCAACTGAAGAAAAAAAGTAAAAACAAAACATGTTAAAATAATCAATTCTTTCTAGAAATCTGATTCTAAGTGTTCTATATTGTAAAAGATACCTATGAATATTAAAATGTGCTTTTTTAAGTAAATATAACTTTCACAGTATTGACAATTTGTTATAGAAAATTACTAATAACCGTAATTTAATTAGACACAGAGATAATAAAAGATATTACACAAGATAATTTTATTAGGATAACTTATATATTATATATATCGTTAATTTAATAAATAAAAAAACTCATTCTGCTGTTCAATAGGTGTGCACTGTGCAGTATACTTTGTTATTTGTGAAGGTTACTGTTAAAACTCATGGATGTGTGGTATTTCAATTTAATTATAAATCATTGAAGCTATATGAAAAAACAATTTTACGAGAGAAATATGGGTAGATGAACTTTGTCTTGTATTATATTTATATTGTTATGATTGGTAGGTTAAACAGATTGTTGCCAAAAACATTGTGTGTATAGAACTCATAAGTTAGTTAGTTAATACAAATTTACCATATCATACCTAACTTGTTTAGGTTCGAGGTATAAATACGAGGTCTAATCAAAAAGTATTGAGACTGATACGATTAATCGTAAACCGGTTTGAGTATGAACTTGCACGTTTATAGTATGCTCCTAAAGGACAGACTATAACAAAGGAGTACTACATTGATGTTCTTCGCCGTTTACGAGACGCTGTACGAAGAAAAAGACCCGAGTTTAAAGAGTCTGGTAGTTGGAAATTGCATCACGATAATGCACCAGCCCATTCAACCCATGTTGTGCAGCAGTTTTTGGCTAAACATGGTATCCCAGTTGTTTCTCAACCTCCCTATTCACCAGACCTAGCTCCATGTGATTTTTTTTTATTCCCAAAAATAAAAATGGCGCTTAAGGGTAAACGTTTTCAAGATGTAGATGAAATAAAACAAAATGCGACGGAGCAGCTACGAAGAGTTTCTAAAAATGACTTCCACAGGTGTTTTCAAAAATGGCAGGAACGTTGGAGAACATGTATGGACTCAGAAGGAGCATACTTTGAAGGAGATTGAATGTAAATAACTTTATCTAATATATATTTTTTTTTTTTTTTTTAACAGTCTCGATACTTTTTGATTAGACCTCGTATACCTTCAAATTAGCCTTGAGTTTTTGAAAACGTAATTATATAGCCGTATAGGTATATTGTAACAAGCCTTGTGTTTCGTGAAGCTGATAAAACAATTCCAATATTAATTATGTTTAAGGATGAAAAAAAGATTTAATTTTATAGTAATAATGGTAGCCAACTTCTGGAAATTTGAGCCTAAATCGATATTTTAAGTGAGTAAATCTTTACTAATATTTACAATGACCTCAAAATGTAAAACATTGTTTTATTACATTCGTTTCATCACAGCTAGTATTTCCTTGATCTATTTATAATTAGTTACTTTATAGTATTAATAACTTATTAGCTACGTACATTTTCCATATTGGCCATACATTGTGTAACATATTATCTTGTTATCTCCATTATAAGTATAATAATAATGTAGAAAACGTTTGTTTTAAATATATCAATAAAAAACGTGATTTAAATGGATAGGTACACGAAGTTGGCTTTATACGTATAATATGTAGTACAATCTTAAAAAAAAATAAGTACATAGAAATTTTTGACACTGTTGGAAATTTTTTTTTTTTTGATATAATAATTTTAAGATTACACCAATAAAAAAAAAAAAGACAAAAATAAATTAATAATGAAAAAGTAGTCGTTCTACTGTTTATTAAATGTCGAGTTGTTACCTGACGTGACTGAATACCAAGGTCACTATAGTCTGGAAATCTGTAATGGATGTATTAAATTTGAATTATATAATAAATAATTTTCATTCATTATTTAAAGAAAAATTAATATTTTTTCTTTAGAATATCAAAATTGTATAACATTTTAACATTCATTTTACCCCTTTTTATATTAACTTTTACTTTTGTGAATGAAACTACAAAAGAAAAAAAAGAAATAAATAAACTAAAAATTAACTTCCGATTTTTAAATAGTAATCTATGTATATAATTTATACAATTATTTATAAAATGTATAATTATTTTTTATTCGCACTTCATTAATATTCAATCAATCTTTAATGAAATACATAAGACGTTATAGGTAGTGATAAGATAAATATATGAATATATACAAGAAGGTCGGATTAAGGATCTATTGGGTTCCGGGGTTGACATTTTAAATGGGCCCTTTTGATAATACATACTTTACAAAGCCGCTCACTACAAGATACATTTTTTTAACTATTTCACAGTTTGTGCTAATATCCAACAAATTTTCATTTAGCGCAATGTCACTCTGCCTCTCAACTCATTAGTTTCATTGTCATAATGATATTGTGAAAAAAAAATGTAATAAAAACTGGTATACAAAAAATTTGCAAATAAAATATTTGTTTAATAAAAATGTTTAACATTTAATTTTTAATAGTCAATAAAAGAGTAGTTGTTTTAATTTATTGCTTAAAAATAAAATAACATATCAATTATTTCATTCTTGTTTATTAATAATAATAATTATTGATAAAATTATACTAAGTAAATGTATCATAAACACCATGGATTGCTATGAATAACTTATATGCATCGAGATAAGATATACAATACTAGAGCGCGAGCGATTTCTCGTATTCCACTAATACTGGCAGTATTACCACAGAATATAGGAATATATAGTTTTTGATATTATCAGATATAAATAACATAAATTACATTATTAACCATTGATGATATTATTGATATCAACGAAAATATAAAATAACAATAAAATGCGTTTTTCTACCATATTGCGTGCTTTTGTAGGTAATTAGTAATTACTATTTAGTTGTTTTTTATCGATAAAAAAAAATTATTTAAAAAAAATATAAAAACTGTTATTTAAAATCACTGGAAAATAGTAACAGCTTAAAATTGTTTGGGCCCCTTTTAATTTGGTACTTTAATTGGGGCCTTCTGCTCCGGCTAAACCCACATTAATCCGGCCTTGAATATAAATTATATAATAAATAATGATATATCTCTGAAAAATGTTTTTCTGTGACAAGACCACACTCACTTGTAACCAGTTTACACGTTGTGAGTAATATGAGCTTATAAACGTTTGATTATTCAGATTCAAAAATTTAAATGGTTATTGATTAACCATGAGACACCTAGAGTAAAACGTGTAAAAACACACACTAAAAGTTAGGTTAGGTTAGATTAGGTAGTATAGAAAAACTATAACCGTGGATTATATACTTGGTTATATCTCGAAAACTATTGAATGGAAATCAAAAATTTAACACAAAAGTACTTAAAATAAATTTTATAATTTGGTGATTTTAAATGTTGGTATTATGGAATAAAAATTATTAAATGTTAAGAACATTAAATATTTGTTGATTTCATTAAATTTCAACATTTCTAAAAAATAAAAAGGTTAAAAAATAACAACAATGATAATAAATAATAATAAGTATCTTATGTTAAATAGATCACCCTTTATATCAAAATAAAAACAACTCATCTGAACATACATTATTTTTATCATTAAATTTGAAATGGCAATTGACTTTAATTAATTCAGTTTCAAATCTAATCTAAACAAAACGATAAATCGATTCATTTAAAGTTATAAACATTTTATACGACCAAGAATTCAATTTCTATACCATCGAATATATTTTTTTTTAATTACATCTTAAACAAATCGTGATGTTAATTAAACACTGAATCTTTAAACAGTTAAAATCTTGTAATTTGTATAAATTCATAAAATATAATTAAAATTTTATAAATACCAAAGTAATATATTCATCAAAAACTTAATAAATTTACTTGCAGAGCTATGATTAATCTATAAATATTTGATAAGTACCATTATTTTTATAATAGTATATATTTCTTTTACAATATAACTATAGGTTCTCGTATAATAAAAATTAGTAATTGACCAAAATTTAAAAATATTATTTTAATAAAAATAAAATAATTTATTTTGTCATTTTTCGCGGCATAATAAGTATTAGATATTAAAACTGATAAGTAAATCTTTATAAATAATTTTTATTTTAGTAATATACTGCTGTTAAAGGTGTTTGGTAATAATCTAAATTTGTTAAATTAAATAATACGTTTTTATTATAATTAATAACGATTACATCACATAATAATATAATATACAAATAGAACTATTTAATATTTCACGTTTCTACATTTCCGGAAAAAGTATAATTATTTAAATAAAGTGATGTCAAGATTGTATTCATATAAACTGACACTTATTAAGTAATGTCACAGGAACTAACAAAATAACACAGTGTTGTAATTTTTAATCACCTTGTTCATTGCTATCTTTATACAGAACATCCGGTATGTTAAACACTAACTGATGAGTGTCCAAATTATTTCTACAGTTTCTTCCCATAGACCACATACCAGTAACAAAGTCTTTATTGTTTTGAGAGTTTACAAATCCTGAAAAGTAAATTAAAATAAAATAAAATTGTTATGTATTGTTCCTATTTGATAATTTCCTAAAAAACTATTTTACCATATTTCTGTATAACTACGTAGTGATATATTTAAAACTATATTTTATATTTTAAATTTGGTGATTAATAACAATAACAAAAATACTGGCAGTCGTATATTTAGTTTAACCAAAAAAAAAAAAAAAAATAATAATAATAATAAAATATTATTACCGTTAATACATTATAAATAAGCGCAAAACTACAAGTAGGTACTTAATACGTGTTTTAAAATAAACGTTTTTAATTTATAAACCAAAAAAAAAAAATAATAAAGTATCTTAGTTATAAGTGATTGGGATCTGCAACTAAACCATGACTAGGCCTTACATTTTGAAAGTCCTAACATCATAAAAAGCTTAAAAAAAAAAAAAATCTCAAATGGCTTTATTTTTTTATTCATAATATTTGTTATCATTACTAATTAATATTTAAATAAAAAAATTAATAGTAGGCAGCTAGCTATCTATAAATATATTTAAGCAGTACTTTTGTTTTCAGTTATACATTCATAAACAATATTTTCGGGTTTTAATTGATTCGTTAAATCTTCATCGATATTTAACAGTGTTAAATTTAAAAATCATTATAATATACAGTCCTTGGTCGATTTATTATTCATCACATTATTGCTATTAATACGCTATACGGCATGAGCATACAATAAATCGAGTTATTTGGGAGCGTTAACACGACAGTTTAGCGCTGTGCACCTCCCTATTTTCCACCCTAGTTGCGTCTATTGATTAGGGCTAAATCAAAAATTTAGTTGCTAAATTTTGAACGACTCTGCCGACTACATAAATCCGTATCATATTAACGTACTAATTTGATATCGTCGAACGATGAAAAACCATTTAAAGTTCGTTTAGAAAACCTCTAAACGCTAGTTACCGATAAACACGGCGACGTTCTTATCCGCCCTGTTTATAGCAGACAACGAAACCGGTCCAAGATGTCCATACTGTGCGGTGGCCTTGGCCATCCAATCCTTACTGAGGAAACCGTTTGATTTCGCGCCAACCGACATGTCTAATATCCTGACGGGTATGCTATTGTCTATGCCCACCGTGCTGCGCGCGTCTACGACGAACCGGACGCCTGCCAATTTCGACGACCACGTGCCGCCAAAATCCCAAACCGACGTTGCACTCGTTGCAGGCACCTGTGCAGCTGTGAATATCGATAACACACGCCAAATCCGTACGTTAAATTGATTTTTAATAACGTTGATGTATATAAAAATGATATAATGCGGACACGCCCTGTACTTTAGTTATGGAATTGAGTTGGCCAAAACCCAACTCATATGAGTACGCGATGAACGTATCATTTATTATTGCAATATCTACAGTTAAATAGAGACTATAGAACTGACCTAATAATTGTGTAAATATGTAAAACGATCAAGTGAAAATTCATTTAATTTTTAAACTTTCAAGTAATTTACGCCTACACCAATAAAATATATATAAATAATAAATATATATATATATATGTATATTTATATATTGTGTTAGAGAATTTTAATTCAAAATTCGATTTAGTAGATGTATAAAATCATGAGATAATAGAATTTTCATATTACTACCATGAATATAATATATTACAATATATCACTATAAGAACTTCACCATTGCCACGATATTTGGCAAACCTACTAAATTTAAAGAATAATATGATTATTGATTACGTTATGTTATGCAATATATAATAATTATTTAATGTTAACTAATACGCTCGTATTATGTCGGAATAATTATTAAATGTCGTAATACTGAAAATATCTATTTGGTTTTAAAGAATAATTAAAATAAAATTTTTAAGTATGTGAATTTATTCGTACGTACATCATTGTTTACCAACTTTGAATTGTGTTAAATAATTAAGTTGTTTGTTTATATATTTTTTTCATAATATATAAATGAGTATTTTTGTATGTTACAATTATTATTGCTTTAAACTGTACCGTTTTACAACACTAGAATAAATGTAGTGTACCACGATTCATCTCTCTCAAATCTAAACTTTGTCTATCCTATAGTTGTTTATTTATGATGTATTTATTATTAACACGACTTCGGATAATTGCCGTTAATAATAATTATTTTAATTTTAATTTCTTTAAAATCTTAGTAAAATCGACATCATTTATGCTTATTATAGGTATTACTGGTAATAGGCTATAAACAATAAATAATTAAATTGTATCAATGAAAATATTCCTAGATGTGTGTAATGTATATAATTATTAACATAAAAGAAATGCACGTGTATTTTTGAACGTGTAATATAATAATTGCACAACATCAAATGAAATTAAAATTCCATTATATAATATAATAAACTAAACAATAAACTAAAATCAAACTGTAATAATGACAGTCTTCATTAATATTTGCATATGTTGAATAATGATATAGTAATATGTATGTCTAATAGACAAAAAATTGATCTAAATAATAATTTTAGCGTTGGCAAAAGATTGAATAATATCAATGAAGCAATGATCTCACAAAAATTAAAATAATGAGTAAATATGCACTAAAAAGGTTCATTTAATATGAATTATTTTGCATTTAACCATAATTTCAAATTACATTTTTCAATTTAATTACACTATTGTAGGGTAAATCATTTTTTTTTAACGTTATATACTTATATCATTAAAAATTTTACTATCAGATAAAGTAGTAGTATTAAGTGTATATACTTCTAGTAAACTGAATAATATTGTATCTATGAATACATGAATTATGAATGTTCTCCATAAATATATCATAATATAGGCAAATGGGTTTTTTTTTTTATATTATACTTAATGGTTGTAACATTAATAATAAATAGGATGTGTTATGTGTAATGACAGTTGTGATGTGTTAGGTGTTATGATAAGATAGTTCCAGTAAATGTTTATTGTTATCAATGTTAAAGTAACCGTAATGGACTTATCTTACTCACAAGCCACACTATCCTTATACTTGATTTTATATTTATTTTATTACCCATTGTACTTATTAATTGTATACATATTGTAAATAATCACTCTTATTAAATATATATATATATATATAAATTATCAAAATAAATTATCTGCTGAAACATATCTTTAAATTGAAATAAAATTGGAGAAATTTATTTGTATAGGTATATTTAAACAATATTACCATCCATTTACTTCAGACGTTTAAATATTGGATTTTGCCCCAAAATGTGATGTCGACCACCTGTCACCGACTTGCCCGGATACTGAGGTATTATTTTTGTTAAAATATAGGAAACGTAATGCAACATATATATTTTAAATATTCATTTAACTACCACGAAAAATTGATTAATGTTTTGATAAAATTTATTTGACCAATCATAGGCTACTAGATATGTTTAAAAGACCATTAATTCACTATTAAAAATGTTTAGTGATTATGTAACCCGGCATAAGTTATTCATAATTATATGAGTAATAATGTTAGTAAGTAATTTATACTAGTTAATTTAAACCATAAATTATATCAATAGACCTAATTATTCGATACTATTTTTTTTTTTTTTTGTATAAACCATAAATAAACTCATTAAAAAACCAATACGAATAAATAAAGTAAATAAAGAACAGTTAAATATTTCATAGAATATTATATTTTTCATTCATTAACAATAATACAGAACGTATTTATGTATATTTTTTTTATTATTATTGATTTTAAACTTCAACAGTAATGATTATTAGCTTGTAGTCAATTATTACTGTGGGGAAGGTACTGTTTTGTAATACGTATTTACGTGGTGAAGATTTATCATAAAAACCCAAATGGCTGCCCATCCGGAAGCAGTGACAGGTCGATGCTTGACCTCAGAACACGTTAGTGAGTGAGGCCAACCACTGTGTCCATCAAGTCACACATTAAATTTATATCAATATATCGACTAATATAAGCAATTATATATTATATTAAATCTCCAATGATGTTAAATCATTATAATATACATAAATAATTAACAGTAATATTATTTTTGGAACGTAATAAACTAATAAATGTTACAGCTATTTAATTGTTTTTATTTAATTTAAAATTAAAATATATTTTAGATTCTAGGCGGAGCAATGAATGATTAGTTTTAGTTTTTTTTTGTGTGGTTTATAAGCACTTCTTAGGATAGTGAAAATACTTAGATTTTTAGACACAGGAGTAGTTTCTGGTAAAAAATTTGATCCATTTAGTACTTTGGTATGTCGAAATAAGGGTTTAATTTGTCCTTTATGGGGGATCAAAAGTAAAAAGTTTTTAAAAATATATTTTAGATTACAAAAAACAAAACAATAATTAAATAATTTAAAGAAAAACTGGAATTTTTACGCAAATTTAATTTTTAACAATTTTTTTTAGTGTAATTCAAAAACAAAAACTATACATATTTGACATATTTATCAAATGTTCGTATTATTATTTTTAATTTACGATCAAATTTTAAAAATATTTAAAAGACTATTTTTAAACTATTTATAACTAAGAGAAATTTCAATTTTAGTATTTTTTTTCTTAAAATGTAAATTAAAAGTTATTCACTACATAGATTTTTGAAAATTTAATACAAAGATCCTCTTAAATTGTTAATTTATCAATTAAAAATATGAAAATTTTTACTCACAATATTTTTTTGTAAGTCTTTAAAGTTAAAATGTAGATAAAATTCATAAAAATTACAAAGATTAACAAATTATTTTGTTTCATGCCTATAAAATTTTAAAATATAATACACAATTCTATATAAGTTTTTTAACCTTTAAACAAAAAAAAAAAATTCTACCGAGAAGTCCAATCAATTTTTTATAAGTATTTTAAGTTTAAATATTTACGACATACGGTATTCACCCGTTATAAAATTATTTCTCTTCAAACAATTTTTTATATTTTGTTGTATCTCAAAAATAAAAAAACAACAATAAATAGGTACTAGAAATTTGTACCAAATTTTTATATTAGGTATTATTTTTATTTTATGATAACATTTTCAATTTATTTTTGTTATTTTCTATAATTGTTGATAAAAAATTATTCACTGGGTCAATATTCTTGAAAATTTAAAATAAGTTTCCAGTTAAATTGTTCTTATATTTGTACAAAAATGTTAAAAGTACATAGACACAATTTTTTTATACGCTTTTAAAATTAGAATTTTGACGAAATTATTTATTTTAAACAATAATTAATAATGAAGTTAATTATTTATTTTGTTATAATTCAAAAATATTTTCCGTGATAATTTAAGACTTTTATGTATATTATTTATAATGAACTTTCTATACGCAAGGACGTTTTTGATTTATTTTAACATATTATCTACTTATGCTATATACCTATTTTTACTGTTCTACGGTACTTACATTTTACAGAAAAATATTATTACATTTTGAGTTATTTAAGTTGATATAATATGGTATAAATATATATTATTATAATAATATGATAAATACAGTATTTTTGACAAGAATTTTATCAACTTACTGTAATACTAAATATAAAGTAAATGACTAATATCCGTATCAAAAAACACATTACGAAACATGCTTAGTGATATAAGCTAACAGACCGTCTCCACTCAGAATCTTTTTTCGTATACAATAATATTATATTATTGAATTCAAATTTAACACACCCATAAAAGTTTCCTATTCTACATCGTATGTACAGCAGAGCGGAACTCACTTGCCTACTATTTTTTAAATTTTACTGGATACAATTACTTGGTTGTTTCATTGTTATATTATATTACGTTTTGTTAGGTATTATTAATAATCATTTGAATGAAGTTTTTTTAATAAAACAATTAATTTATACACGAGTATGATTTAAATAAATATTTAGTCGAAATTTGAAGTCTTTTACATTATAATTATGTAACTTTTAGAGCACTTTCAACTAAAAACGTGATATCAGTTTAATAGAAAAATGAAATCCTATACCATTGTGTATTCATGTATAAATAAAAGATTTTTTTTTTTTAAATTGAAATTTATATTATCTCTTACTTTTAAAATATTCTAACTCCCTTTTTTTTACTTTGATTCCGTTTTGAATTTTTTTAGTTGAATTTAACTTATTTTCCATATATTGGTCTGGCCAATTCAATACTGGATTTTTTTTTGATATATAATTAACTATATTTGATTTGATTTTTATTTTATTGTATTCATTAAAATTTATTTTTCTATTATAATTGACTTCTTTATTTGGAATCTATAAAACATATTTTTTTAGTAAGTATAGATTTAATTTCTTTAAAACAAAATATTTATTAATTACAACAAATGGAGAAATTGAATCTTTAGTGATAATAGTTTCCACACATAGCAATAATTTATAGACAAAAATAAACAGATAGCTACGACTTATGAAAATACAACATATCATAATTTTGTAATATGTTGTGACTACTATACAAAAAATAATTTACACTATAAAGAAAATGTTTATGACAACCGTTGTTTAATAAAAAAATTAATGTGTTTAATTCATATCATATTTTATATTACTACGTACTACATAAGTACTCTATAAAATAAATATAAATAGACGTAGCCAGGAGACGATAATTGGGTTTTGGAAAATTTCCTAATAGTTATATATAAGCTCAACTACCCAAAAAAAAAATCGATAATTTAATTTAGTAATTACATTCTTATTTTAAGGATATATGTTTATATACACTACGAATAATAAATATAGATTATTTATAAATGTATATACCTATTTAAAAAAAAAAAAATAAGCATTTAATACACTTAGGTAGGCATTATATAAAGTAGTTTATTAGTTTATTATTTGAACACCAATAAATTACATCGTTATAATATTTATTTTTTATTCTTGATCACATTATAATTTCACTTAACCAAATTATCGATGTCGTTTTAAAATAAATAAATATTTAAAGTATTCGTTACAAAGCGTATACTAAATGTAAAAAAAAACACTAAAATTTATATACTGTAGTCAAATTAAATCGTATAAGTATATATTATATACGTATTTAGTTAGATAAATAAAAGTTATTAAGTTTATTGATAATTGAAAATACTTCCGCTTATTGACAAGTATATTATTATTATTACCTAATATAAATTCATATTATTCTAAAATGTATTATACAAACTTGTTCAGTAAGTTTATTTTTTTTCTAAAAATAGTCACGCCCTTGAGTACAACTTAAATATTTTGAAAGCGTTATTAAAGTGGGTTTAAATTATGTTGTTTGTACGAATTATAGAAATAACAATTTCTCGAATATACATAATTTTAGTCAGTTTTAACTCAAGATAAAATATGAAAAAAAAATTGCATGTTGAATTCAAATACATGAAACTTAGTATTTTTTTAGTAAATATCATGATCAAATATTTAAAAAATTATATCTCTTTCGTATATATTCAATGATTTAGTAGTCACTAAATAACTTTTACATAAATTATTCTTGATAGTTCAAACACAAAGTTTTTTAGCATTAATATAAATACGAAGTACCTGATAGAGAAACACTGTGTCTATATGTATTTATTAAAATATTAACAAGTCATATTGTATGCGGTAGGCAAATAATAAATGAGAGAGCAAAACTTAAGCACCGGAAAAACGGTCGGAATTTAATATGTCCCACATTTTTGAAAATAACATTTTAATTTTGGTAAATACAATACAACCAATGCATCATGCATCCAAAAATATAGGTAAATTATTACGTGAATGCACATCAAACAAAACAAACATAGCGATAACGTAACAAAAAAGCGATGATGTAATGTGTGGAGTAATAACTATTATTAAAAAAAAAAATTCTTACTAGTAATGAGTCACAAATGGTTGCTCATCAACAGCCTCCAACAATGGTTCTGGAAAAACTCTGTTCCTACGACAGATTATTATACATTTTCACTTTTATTTTCCTTCTTACGTACGACATCCGCATATTGTCTCATGTGCCATATATAATACTGTGCTTACTTATTTTTCAGATATTATAATTTTCAACACACATCGCTGCTGTATAATTTATCATTCACCGCTTTACAATGGTAAATACAGATAAACACGTGTTTTTGTGTTTTAAAATTTGAGCACGTTTATTTGAACATTGATTTTCCAGGTGTTCAAATCACTTGTGTATGTCTTGGCGTCTGTTCAATTGGCCGTATGTACGTTGCCCGATACGTTTGAAATGCCATCCAAGTAAGTAATTAAAACATATTTAAAAATTTTGAATTTATTTTATTTAAATGCTCTATAAATTATACTTATTAAATATTCATTGTTAAATAAATATATTTTTAATTTTCATTAATTACAATAATTGTAATATATAGATGTAGGTTAGGCTTCATTAAAACATTGATTATAAATTTAAATTACCTAGGTGATTGAAATAGAATAACAAATAACAATAATATCTTATTTTAAGGATTAGGAGGTATATATTAGTATTAATTTTTTTCGTATACAATGTAATAATGTTAAAATATAATTAGGTACTTAAATATTTTTATTTATTTTTTTTTTATTCAATTCTATATTTTATAATCAACATATAATTAAATTATTATGTATACTTTTCGAATTTATTAGAACTGTACACACATTAAATTTTAAATTAGTCATCAACAATTTTAGTTTAGAAGAAATAAATTGAATTTATAAATCTATATCATAAAGAAAACTTGAAAAAATGTATATGCTTTCATCATAGGCATAAACTAAGGTTGAAATCCTGAAGCATGAAGAGGCTACAGTTCTATAAAAATTTAAATAATAAAATAATATTTATAGTAAATGATCGTGATGATAAAGTGCTTAAATAAAAATCCATTATTTCATAAATTTCATAAAGTTATATAAAACACGAATCAAATGTATCCTCATGATTTAGCTCTTCTCACTGTGGAAAAGCATCTTTTATGATTCACAATACCTACAGGTCAAACTGCCAAAGTAAATGGAAGTATTTACAAATACAATACTTATATAATATAAATAAGAATATAAAAATTACACATGAAGGTGCCTGAACATATTTCAAAAAACTTTACTGCATCACTTTAGTATAAAAAGGGTACTTATCCTTCATTTTAATTTTATGAAATACTATAGTAATTTATAATCAAAATAAAGAACTGAAAGCTCAATATTGTATACGTGAGTGTCTACGTAAATAAAAATGAATTTACACGTTTTATAAGAATTATATTTTTTTACGCATACAATGTAAATACGATATAAATAATTATATTATCTTAACTGACCGTATCCACTTAATAATTATTACACTTAAGTTTTAAATTTTGATTAATCATTATTTATTATACGTTTTTATTACCTTAGTAATATTCACGGTTAAATTTAATTCGTTCAATTGTATAACTCTACGATTTGTGATGTTTGTGTTCTAACTATATAGTGGAGTACTACCAAATCCTGTAACATATTTTGAAGGCATACAAAACGAAAACAAAACAAATGCTGGACGCTCCCACGAGGCTAGATTTGGATACATACCGTCATCTTATGGTGGATCATCGAGTGGAATAGGCGTAAGTACAAAGAAATATATTACAACATAGGCTGTAGTATAAAAATGCATTCATCAAATTCAAAACCTCTAAAATTATTTTCCTATCAGAAAATTTAGAACAGACGCAATATTTCTTTTTAACTTTTAAATATATACATATATAAGTTATATTTGTATAGGTATCAATTAATTGTAGTGAATGGTATGACCAAAGTATAGTTTTTAGGTTAGATAATGAGAAATAAAGAATATATTGCATGTATGTTATACAAATGAATTATACACAAATATTTTATTTTGTTTAAGGGATATCAAGGTAATTCAGTCAGTAGCTATGGATCCCATAAAATTGATATAGGAGGTCTGATTGTTGGTGCTGTCGTTGGGCTTGGTATTCTAATTTTTATCCCGAAAATTCTTTACTTACTATTCGCAACAACTAATCTTTTTAGCGCTCAACCAGTGGGAAACGGTTATTCTGGATATGGAAGGAGTGAGTAAAAACAATCACATTTTTTATAATTACAAATATTAAATATGTATCTATAAGTTTTTATAACTTCCTTTTGCATCGTCGTTATTTTTTAAAAATGTCAGCTACTTTTTCAGTTAATTTTACATACAATTAATATTTTATTTATGATTAACTTTTCCTCTGCTTCCTTTATAATTAATTTAAATTCGCTTATTTTTACATTTTTAATTTTTTATATACATTGTTATATCTTACCCTTAATTGTTGTTATTAACTTATAACAATTAGTTATAAAATAAGAATAATATAATTTAATGCATTGTACTTCACTTTTACGATTTGTTGTTAAATAAATATGGTATAGAAGGTAAAAAATTCTTTTTTTCACTCAGGTGAAGATTTAATGTCTGGTTTGAATGATATAGTCACAAAACTTGAAGAATCTATGTCCAAATATAATATAAATACAACAGAATGTATGCAAAAAGCACTTTGCACTTATATACAATCCACTGAACAAGTTAAAGAAAAATCAGGAATCAACAATTTTGTAGACAATTCAATAAATACTCTAACAAAGTATGTAACGTTTAGTTTATTTTAAAATTCACAGTAAGAAACGCATTTTTTCAATAACTTATTCTAAAATCTGTCTTAGAAATTCCATAATGAATTTTATGATCGATGGTTCGAAATTCAAAGCAGCTCTTGAAGCAGGAAAGAATGGAGAGTGTAAGACGGCCTATAGAAAATGTCCATTCGACCAAAACAGTATTTATATGTTCTTAAGACAAATTTCAACTAAGAAGTAAATTGTTATTTATTTTTTTTCTTTGCATAAAATATTAGTAACTATAAAATTTAAATTAAATCCACATTTTTAAACTATTCTTAAAAATATATTATAGTGTATTACGAAATATTATTGATATTTTACTTTATTTATTATATTTACATACCTAATATCTAAAAATTGTTGACTACAATAAAATAATCACACAAACTGTGTACAAATAAATTATACATTATACGATTACTATAAATAAAATCCATCAAAAACCATCCTATTAATATTTTTTATCATGATTTATTTATATAATTTGTTTCGTATTTTATAGTTATAATTACTAATTTATATAGTTTATTTACTTTTAACTTATTTAATTTACTTTTTTATTATACATAATCAAATATTATTCTATAAACTATATATTGTTTAAAAATAGTTAAAAAATATTTTTAGTAAATAAATATGTATAACATGTATGATATATAAATTGTTACTAATTATTGTTTTTATAATTATACTCATATTCACGTTAGACTAATATAATTAGTTTATTTTTAACAAATACGACAAATAATAATGAATAATCATATATTGACACTGATTACTACAGATTAAATTAAAATAATATAATAATATAATAAATCTTCAGAGGAAAATAATTCAAATGATTTAAATATATTATTTAGTATAAAATTCATAAAGGTGAATATTATATTCCAAAAAACTTGTATAGTATCCTTTGTATTTCTGAGAAAAATCAATAAATTTAAATGCGGTTTTTTACATTAATAAATAAGAAAGTTCTAATTTAATTACATATTTCATTTTTATTTTTAAAAAATTCAAAAAAAATGTTGTGCATTTAAGTTTTTAAATTTTAGAGCGAGTTATTTTTGATCGTATTTTTAAAATAATAAAATTGAGTAAAAATTATCAAGTTAAAGCAAATTAAGTTCTTAATATTTCGTAAGAATAATAGTTATTTTAGCGAAACACGTATTACATGTTAATTAATATCGATTGGAACGTGGATTGATTTTTTTTTTGGGGGGGTAATTTGTAAATTGGAACTTTATTTAAGATTAAAATTATTAATACAGTTAAACCTCAATAAGTCAAAATTCAGGGGAAATGCAATTTTTTCGATATACAGAGATTTTCGAATTATCAAGGTTTTAGAAGAAAAAAAATTGGCTTTAAGAGTTTTTAAATTTATCATCGTACTTTATTTTTGTTACATACTTATAAAAAATAATTTAAGATATTACTTTGAGTTAGGTAATTGCATAATATATTTTTAATAGTATTTTCTAGAACATTTAAATTAGAATAAACTTTATTGCCCACATCACTAGAATGTTCGGTAAATGCCCGAAACACTATGAGAGTAACTTTTGTTCGTTTTACTAAAACATGAGGTATTGGCTCAAATAATTCTTAGTGCCGTTTTTTAAAATGTTCAAGCCAATCGTTACTAGCTTTGAATTTACTGGAATATTACGTTTCCATATACATATATCTATAGGTTTTTTTCTCATAATCCACATAATTTAACATAATATTAACATTAACGTTTCTCACTTCTATTATCTCTTTTTTATTTTTAAATTTGTTAAGTAAATATTTTAGAAATACTTTCTCATTCTATAAATAGCTACGTTTTAAACTTTCATTATTAAAAATACTTTTATTTTTAAAATTTAAAGACATCAAATTAAATAAAATTGGTTTTTTATAATCCAGAAAATGTTTACCAATATATTTTTACATACTATATTTAGGTATATAATATACTTTAAAATGATTTGGTTTATGATCAGTGATCACGTTTATTTTTTGTTTACGAAGAATTTTTCTTTTTTGATGTTATTTGGAAAATTTTATGTACAAAGATTTAATTGCAGGGAGTACCTTAAATTCTTTAAAATTAAATGCTGTGGCACTTTGTTCGACCTTTTGTTTAAACATAATTTTACAATTAATTTTTATAGTAAAGCGCATCGTATTTGTTAATAAAGTCTAATCTAATTTGCTTAATTTAAAGATTACAGATCTTAAACGCATTATTAGGTTATAAACATGTAAATTATATTTAATTATTACAAGTATACATAATTATTTAACTTTAGTAATTAAAACTATTTTTATAGCAGCTATTATATCTAGACTTATGGAAAAAGTGAATTATGATTTCATTAATTGGTATACTACTAAAGTGATTAAAGTTCTAAGCTAATTTTATGTAATTACCATTAAATCTCGAAATTTTGTTTTGAAATGTGACTAGCTTTAATATTTTGTTTTAGAACATTTTATAATTTTTTTTAAATAAATAATTCCTAACCTTATTATTTTTTTTTTTTTTTAAGAAGAAGCTGAATCCGCATGTGTTATCTCTGTATTGCAAATGTAGAATCGTACAATATTATAGGTAAGAATATAAACTAAGTATCTTAAAGACCTCACTAATTATTTTAGATATTTTCATTGATATGTAAAATATTAAAATTTTGAAATGCTCATCATTTGCTTTAATATCAATAAAAGTCTATAAAGCGCATTAAATAATATTCTTACCTTTAAATTTGATAGTAAATCAATTAATTACATTTTAATATTAAAGCTTACAACACTAAATTAATTTTGACAGTCCTACTGAACGTAAATTTGCAATGTAATACGATTATTGTTGACGGAGACAACACATACAGGTTCGGTGACCTCTAAATTACAGGTTTACGACATCATTATTACAACATTTTGATCTATTCTTTACAAATGCATTCATTTTTATTTGACCTAGAGATAAAAAATAGTAAGATTAGAAAAATAACAATATAAAAAAAAACATAATATATTTATATTCCTAATTAATTATAGATACACCTATTTCACTAACGTAAAATAACTATTCTGTTTTTATTTTACAAATATATTTATTTTTATGCTTATGATTAAACTACACAAATTCTCGAGCTTAATAAGTTAATTTCTTTATTCATAGTAAACAATAGCTGAATATATCCGTTAATCATACATTTATTTGCAGTCTACATATTCAAGCAAATGAAAAAATAATTAGGTAATATCATATAGGTATCATTATATTGCATATTTATAATAAGCCAATTTAATAATAGTTTGTTTTTTTTTTAAGATAAAAATAGAAAAAAAAGAGAGAGTGGTGTGTTCAACGCATATTAAACTAAATCCACTCTTTTTCCACCCACGCATGTTGTAAAAACTAAAAAGTAGAAAACTGCATAAGAAGTATTATGAGAAGTTAATGACTATTAAGGTTCCTTAATATACGACATTGCAGTCAAACACTAAAATTAAACTAAGTGCTGCGCTCTATTGCATTATACTGTCGTAAAATTACCGAACACCAAAATTATGTAGATCGAGAATTTTATACATTATTTTATTTTAATGCATGTATCAATGTATGGATGTTATTATTCTGAAAGGAATATGGGAATCATAGGAGTATGGAATATTAATAAAATAATTAAATTTATATCTTCTAGACATGATTTTGTTTTAAAAATATTTGAGCTAGATATTCATAGACATTTAATTTTTCAACTTTATAATTTTGTCATTAAAAAAAATGACTATTTTGATCAACAAACTTGATAATAAAATACAAGCTTCGCCTCATAGTTGTTTTCATAGTAATTTCTAAATCATGAAAATACAAAGGGACATTTTTTTACACGTTTTTTAAGTTAAAATGTTGACAAAATTGAATTTTTTTCTTTCGCATTTATGTATGTTATTATGAAGTTTAAAAATATATTATGGACTAATTTTAAACCTTTTTATCACTTTTTCTTGATTTTATTATTCTACAGTGCACCCATAAATTGTAGGTGAATTATATATATATACATATTTTGGAAATCTATATAAGTTTTTTTTCATGGTTGATTATGTTAGGTACTTGCAGGGCCGGCGAGAACATTTGTGGGCCCCGGGGCTGATCAATTCCGGGGGTCTTTACTTATAGTAATTTCATATTTGACTAAGAATACTAAGATATACATAACACATTAATACAGTAGTCTAACCGATTAGACGATTACACAGATCGAACTCGCATTGAATGCGCGTATGTTTTGTTATCTTTGTGCGTACTGTTTCGTACTGTGTTGCGTATGTGATAAATGATAATATAGTAGCTACATGTAGCTGTTTAATTTTGAGCGATCGGACGCGAATGTTTACGGCTTAACTTGTAATTCTAAATTATATAACATATAATTTGTATAAAAATAATTTTTCTACTCAAAAAATTAGTAAAATTGACCTCCCGGGTCTATAGGGCCTGTACGACTGTGCCTAAATATGCCCCAGAAAACGGGCCCGCCTGGAGGCTCGGGCCCCGGGGCTCTGGCCCCGCCTGCCCCACCCTCTCGCCGGCCCTGGGTACTTGTATTTAACAATAAAAGTTATATTTTTATTATTTATTTAAAATATGTTTTTTGATGATTCAAGTTTTATCTGAAAAAAAAAAAATTTAATATTTTGAATAATAAAAAACTTGAAAGTAAATTAATTTTAAATTACATATTTTTGCAGTGTTAGTGTGTATAATAATATTGAATTTATTCATTTACAACAAGTTACAATCGATATTTGGCGTATGGTGTAGGCAATTTTAGTACATCAGCTTGTAGGTAACTTTAAAACGGTATTTCGTGCTATATCAAGTTAAGTTTTCGCGTCGGTAAACGAATTTAACATTTTATTATGATAACAATAACCTAGGTACCTATTAACCAAATATAAATGTGGATAAAATTATAAAGGAAAAATTAAACGATTTTTTAGGTTGTTCAAATGAATTTCTTTTTTTAATACTACTGTCATGTTAATTTATCAACATTTTATTTTCGTAGTGGTTTTAATAATTTCATACAATTATATGCATTGTTTTAGATTTTTTTTTTGAAACATTTATAAGATTTTGCAGTCCAATGTTAGTAACAAATGAATGAATAAATTAATAAGGACCATACTAATTACAAATCAATAAAAACCGACTTATTCATCAAAATGCATTTTTATTTTCTGAT